GGGGGGGGGTGTACTCATAGTCGTGCATGCCGTAGTCGTTAGACCATTGACCTCGCATCCCTACAAAGCCGGGACGGAGCACGCCGGGTTCTCACCGGACCAGGCTCTCACATTACCAAGCGCGAAGCGCCGTGAGATGTTCGGCGAGTCGCATGAAGGGTGCGCTGCATCCTGCTAAGGGTTTTCGGCATCTTGTGCTTACTTCCTTGCGTACCGATGACAGCTGCGTATGACTTAATTTACTTTCTGGTGCTTTCACTTCCTGAGACAGTTGTAAGCACTGTGTAACTGCCTCGAGGGTGCTTGACCATTTTAACACAACGTGGTGCGACCATCCCCCTTGCGCGGAGTGAGGGTTCTCCACCCCGCACAACATGATCTACTCGACCACCATTATGGTTACCGCCAAAAAAAAAACGGAGGTAAAAAAACAAACGGTAACCTGGTTGCCGAGTTCACGAAGTGAATTGGCTTGTTTTACAACGTCGTTGCCAAGCGACGAAAACTCAATCCCGATGGCAAACACCGGGGGGGGAGGGGTTTGATCGTTTGAACCTGCGTGCATGTGCAGTAGGACAAGATGACGCGATTCCGTTTGAAGGGCAGCAACTCGAACACTCGAACGGCTCGTCATGGTAGCTATTGAACGCGGGGGCCCTTCCAGCACCCACCGCCCCGTGGGCACTATCTACATATGTTGTATGTACATACGATAGAGCGGGTAATCTTGACATCTATATAGTTATGTCGCGCATCACCCCCAACCCAGGTTCTGCTTGTTGAACCGTTCAAAACAGTACGAAAGAAGTGAACAATTTTACAATTTTGACTTGACACTCACACCAACGTGAAGACGGTGAAGTCGGTAGCGAAAGCCGTGAGCAAGAGAAGAATGGCGCCGAAGACGATCCCGCTCCTCCTCAAGGCGAACGGGAGCGAAAGGACACCTCCTCCTGTTTTTTTGTCGGCAAACAACAAGCAAACCATCAGGAACTGCTGCCAAGTGTACAGTTTTCCTTTTTTTTTCTCCCATCATTGGACTCTGTTGTCTGCCCCTCTGGTCCCTATCCTCCACTTCTACTAGCTGGACGACCCAACAAGGGTCACACAGGAGGGGGCTAGCTGTTCAAATGTACTACTGTAGATAGGTTTTACACATTTCGAGTACACGAGGTGGAGGAAAGTGAAGGTAAGAGGAGAGCTGCTGAGAGGAACAGCAGTGGTACGTGTAACCAGAGGAGGTGGGTGAGAGGTACAGGGGGAGCGGAAGGGTCAGCGTGTGGTGCTCAGACCTGGCGCCGACTATCCAAACCACGCTCGCTCGCTCGCCTCCGTGTACGTTGACTTGTGTTCCAACTCCGCAAAGAGCAGTCTCGGTCTCTCTTGTACCACACGTACAAGGTACTTCAAACGTGACTTTTCGAAGCCGGTCCATCACTCAGGTCTCGTCGCGAAGCAACCGCCATAAAACGGGGCATCTCAATAGCATTTGGGTGTTGTCTTCGTGTTGGCCTTCATCGCGGCAACACCGTGGTTGGTGTTGGTCTCGGATGTGAGATGTTACTGACGATTGTCTCCTTCCTGATTTTCAAAGGAAAAAGTTGCAGTGCTGTATGTGCACAACATAGTCTAGAAAGACTGCAGACATATGGGGTATGCATACAACACAAGTTTCCAAGTTTCTATATATTTCTGTCCAGCAACAAAATTCGTAGCCTACCGAGAAGTGTTCCCAGAAGCGTCGCCACAGCCCCAGTGACCGTGCCTTGGCGCTTCTCGGAGAAGAAGTGTGGGGAAAAGTGCTCGCGGTCAAGAAAACGCATAGGTAAGCGGTCGTGAGTCTGGGCTGTGGTGTGTTGCATTGCTTGCATTGCAATGCAAGGCCGGTCTAGGGTCCCCGCGATGGCTAGCCCACTTTTCGACCCCCCCGGTTGTCCGAGTATTTTTATGTGCGGAACTCCGCGTGACTCTCCGCTCTCCTCAAGCCGCACAGGCTGACCACCTCCAGCGTCCACCATCCCTCAGCGTGCTCTGTCAGCTTGTAGGAGCAAAAAGGCCATACCCGACAATATGGCTGACCCCAACTGGAGAGGTTCGCCACCTCCCTCTGGTACACAGCGACCAGGACGTGCGGCTATGAACGGAACAGGTGGCCCATTTCAGGACGGAAGGACCTCGCTCGCAGAATCCAAGTCTGTCCCAGCCTTCTCCCCTCCAGGACAGCCGACCCAGGTAGGGAAGTCTATCTAGCTCTCCTCTAGCAATGCTTCGGGCAGTGCGCAGAAGCTTGGTGCTTGGTCCTCCGGGTTTTGCCAGCGGCAAGGACTAGGAATTTGCAAGAGCAACTTCTGTCCCAAAAATGGACTCCCGATTCCGGCCCGTGTGTGCGTGTGATTATGGCAGCAGGCTGTTCGGCGGGACGCGTGGTGTTTCGGGCTTGGGCACAGCCTTTTTCCACGCAGCAGCAGCAGTAGCACATACGACCCTAACGGATAGCTAGCATCAACTTGTGCGGATGCTCCTAACTTGTTTTCGTTTCGGGGGGAAACTAAGACCGTGCAGCTGCTTGCTTCGTTTTGTCAAAGACGGTGCTTGAGCGGCTCGCTGGTCTCTGGTCTCGGTATTGGAGATTGGAGTGTACAGCAGTATTAGTCCACATCAGTAGTGCAGTACGATACGGAGCGAAGGAATTCTCTTGCTATTTATTCCCTGCTGTTCCGGTTGCGCATTTAAGGTTTTCGTGTCGGTTGCTCACACGGCGTTTTAACGTGTTGCAGCCAGTCGCTATTCTCCGTCCACGGATCGCCAGTGATACAGCAGTGGTGCGACCTGCATGCTAGACAGAGTTAGGGTTAATTCCAACGTTTCTGCCCCGATTGCTGGCCTACGGACCCGCCGAGTGTCTATTTCAAATTGCAAACTACTCATATTTTTCCTGAATCTCATCTGCGTTCTGTCCCCATGCTTCTGTGCATTTGTTCTTGTGTCATGATTCATGCCAAATCTCTCTCCCTCTGACGCAGGCTGCGCTTGGGACACCCATCCCTCTTTCATCTTCGAGTGCAAGGCTGGGGGGCCCTCCCTCGACGGCAGGTACAGCAGCGGAGATCTATGTACTTCGTACGAGATTCCTTCCACCATTTTTGGGTCATGTGCACAAGTCCTTTTGGTTGGCACGCTATGGTTGTCTGTGTCCTTTCAGAGATGCTCCCGGAGTTGCCGCTCTTAGATTTCGAAGTGCGGTGAAGCATAATACAATAGAGCGAGCTGTACATCAGGTAATGACGAAAAGCAATCTACTATTACCACACTCCTTAGTTGCGTTGGATTTCTGGCATGCACATTCTCTTCTATTAGGCACAGTAGACTCACAGCAGGTAATGGTGAAAAGCAACCCATTAATCCTTGCTTAGTTGCGTTGGATTTCCGGCATGCACATGCTCTTCTATTAGGCATACAATTGTAGTAGGCTAGGATCGATGATGGGCGTGTCGTTTGCGCCCTCGGGCCATGATGTGGTCGTGCTTTGCAAGTCATGGCGAATGTACGTTGCCGTGCGAAACACCACCGCTTGATTTCCACACGAGTGCAAGCCCATAGATCAACATCACCACTTGTTGGGGGCAATTTTTCCCGGCTGATATGCAAAGCATTGGGGAGGTGTCGATATGGTTCTGTAGCCTGACGGCTAGAATAGTTTTAGTTTCCCTGTGCGTCTCGAACTTCAATTTTTTCGTATTTGATCACGGGTTCCTAAGAACAACAAGGATACCGCCGCGTGAAGCTCATCCATGTGAATGGTGCCCAAATGTAGCTGGGAATGAAATCTAGTTCATCGGTGTGTTGTTGGTGCCGTACCAGTGCAGTCTAGCGTAGTGGGCACATGCACGTTCCTGCGGGTACCGCAGACTGCACACAAAGAAGTGGAATGTCCCGCGTACACGGTAGACATGGGTCCTGTTGTATCGGGCGCAAGAATGCAGTTGCGGCCGTGTCTGCTGCGGTCCTGTTGAGCTGGCTTGTTCATTCCACCACCACTATTGTAGCACTACCAGCAACACTCAGCGACTCAGAACCCTCATCGTATCGTCCCTATTTAGCAGACTTGGCACACCGGATGTATCGTCGGTAGCAAAACGCTGGGTGCGCGGTTCAAGCTGTGATGTATGACGGCAACGCATGTTGATAACTACCCCCTACACGTCCCGCACTCACGACAACTATCCGCTCAGGCCTCGGTCCGCCGTCATCGGGGTCTAGCCCCTTTTCGGCCAGCAGCAGCACCGGAATGCCCCCCTCTGCCCGAAGGGTGAGCTCACCCCCCCTAGCGGGGCCCTCAAGCTACGGGTCGGGGACTTCAGGATACGGCGGTGCCCCCAATGCCAGCGCCGCCATCGCGGCGTCGGGGATGCGGCTAGGCGGCCCTCCGACCTCGAGCAACGGGCCGCCTGCGATATCGCGGAAGTTCTCTCCGCCGCCGCCGCCGCTGTCGTCTCAGAGCGCATTCGCGAAGGTGATGAAAAAGTATGCATATCCCGTCCTCGGAATCCCGGCGTGTGGCCGCAGTCGTTGTCTGCGGGTGTACATTGTGCAGGATGCTTCAGAGGGGGGCAGGGAAGAAGAGTTGGAGTTGGGGCGTGGGACGGGGTGCGTCGAAGCGGGGCGCGTTCGTTTCTCTTTCTGTGGCGGGTTTCCGCGGCTTCGTTTCCCCGGAAGTGTGTGGCGATGCCCTGCACCAGCAAGCTGAACCTGCCCGAAAAACATGACGTAATGCAGCAGCAGCGATTACATGCCCCCATCTGACTGGATGTCATCCTTCCCTTCCGAACCGCGCTGCTCTTGCGGCGCACCCTTGTTGTGACGCCCAGCCATCAATGACCGCGCCGCCAACCGGGCCACCCCGAAGCTGGTCAGGCCACGGCAGCGGTAACGGTAACGGTAACGGTAACGGTACTGCCAGGGTATTTCCGCCGGGTGGGGTTGGCCCAAACGGGCAGCAGCAGCTGAAGGGACAGAAGCTGGCTTACGGCGCTCCTCCGAGTTTCGCGCCGCCAATGGGCCCGCCTAGCTCCGGTAACGGTGTTGGTCCAGGGCCCAGCGGGGGCCCAGGCGGGTACGGAGGGGCGTCGATTGCTCGGATAGCGTCGATGCCTACAGGGTTGTACGGCGGTGGTGAAAGGGCAGCGCCTCCGATGAGTGCTCCTGGGCAGGTGAGGGGGGTGTTGTAGCGTCCAGAGGGCGTGTGTTTTGGGCTATTTGGCGTTCGAAAGAGGATAACTCGGGTGGGTATTCTATTGAGCCGAGTGAGGTTGGGGTTTTCATTGGCCAGTTTCTCGTGGTGTGCACGCCGTCCTAGGATTGAAAAATCTCGCACCTGAATCTCGTGCAACACGCCACTTCTTGTTGCGTTCAACCTCACCCTGCGCATGCTCTTGTCGTGCTCGTGTGGTGTGGTTGCCCGCGTGCAGTACCAAGGCGGTTACTCGAACGGAGGGATGTCTGCTTCGACGACAGCCCCCCGTCCCAAGATTAACCCGGAACAGGTGCGCAATATTGCACCGTGTCACCCTCCACGGCATGTTGCTGCTGGGGCGACTCTTGACAGAGCGCTGTATGGTGCGCCTTGCCTATATGTGTTGACAGTTCATGCCAACTGTGCATGAAGTAGTGGCGTAGGGGGACTCGGGGAGGCTGGGTCTTGGAATGACGACCCATTCTAATTAGTTGCGGGGAGCGGGGGCGATCCGAAGAACAAGGCCGAAAACGTTTGATGAGTTAATGGCCAAAACCGGGGGGNCGATGGTCTATCTTACCGTAGATTCGGTTCCATCTGTGTTTCGCTCCAGATTTTGCCGCGTCAGATTTTTCGTGTTAGACCATGCGGTCAAGTTTGTGTACGGACCGCGGCTTCCTCCCCTTTCTAAGCGTCAGTGCACTGCGTTCCCGTTGCCTCCCCCCTCCTGCCCTCCCCAAGTTTCTTCCTTTTTTTTTTTTTGTCGTCGTCGTCGTCGTTGGTTCAGCCCCACGATACCTATCTCAACGTTGCACCTCTTCCATCACTTGCTTACCCTTGACTTGGTCCGACAGATTCCCCGGCCCATTGTGGGCGGCGAGCCAGTGATTTACCAGACCTGCACCCCTCCCAGCGTGAAGACGCCTCCAACGCCAACCTCCAACTACGTTGCTCTCGATGAGGTATGTGCCGTGGTAGTATCGTCCCGCCTTGTATTGCCATGCCGTCCGTCTTGGGACTGCTGTCGCTCTATGTCCGTGAACCGAAGCATGTGCCCCCATGTACTGTAATTGTCTCGGCGCCGCATGATGTTGGCCGCAGCACCCGGTCCATTGCCCGTATTTCGTCGGCCTGTCTCCATGTGTGTACAGCAGCGCATTCGGGATGTTTGAGATAGTATTATGGACATTCAAGCGCTGTATTGGAATTTGCAGTCCCGTACATACGGAGTACATCGTCGTCGGAAGTTTTCATTGCTGGTGCTTATGCCCGAAATGCTGTTTGGATTCGTCTGCGTTCGTTTGGCACAGGGAAATTGCTCGCCGCGGTTCATGCGGTCGACAATGGCGCAGCTTCCGATGACAGCCGACGCCATGGGGGCGTGTAAGGTGACTCGTGACTGACCTACGTACCTAACGCTGTCTGTCGCATGAAGTACGTGCCGCGCTGAATCGTGCGCACGTTGCAACAGAGCGCTAAAAGCACGTTTCGGGGTCTTTGCGGGCACGTAGTAGGACAAACAGGTGATTCTTCGATGGCTTGGCTCTCACAACGCCGCGACACCCCGGTCGGTGCCGCGTCTCAGGCGCTTTTCCCCGGTAAGATGCAGCGTAAAAGTCGCTCTTTTCGTGAGGTTTGTCCTAAAATCACGGAGCTTTGTGCTCAAAACTGTCTTGCTGACTTGACCATTGCCAAGAAAGGGCACCTCCCCGTCCACTTGTGGCAGTTCTATCTCTCTCATGGCCTACCTTTTCTGTGCTGCCTCCTTGCCACCAGATCCCGATGGCCGTAACCGTCCAGCCCATGGCCATCGTGGGGCCGGAGGAGATTCCGGTTAGCCTTGTGGACTTCGGTGAGAGAGGCCTCCAATTTACCCTTCGTTTTTTGCATGGACAACGCACTGCGTACTTATACATACTTGGAGCAGTTTTCGCATTCTATGGTTGTGTTTGGGTAGCTAGTCCGCCCTTACCCTAGCGTGGTGTGTGCTAGAGATTAGAGTATTGATTGTTGTGTTCGTTTCTCTCTCGGGGTTGGCATGTTCAACCAGGGGATTGGTGCCGCCGCTATCATCCCTGCGCCCGGTGGCGAAGTTTGCGGTGTTCTTGTCTGCCGTTGTTTGACTGCACCTCTCATTTGCGCGATGTATACTATTCCTTGCATTCGTGTCCTGCTGCTGTACGTACTTCTCAGGAGAGGCTGGTCCTCTTCGGTGCGAGATGTGCCGAGCTTACATGAACAGCTTCGCCAAATACGTGCAGAATGGCGAGAAGGTGACCAGCAATAGCAATACCATACAATAGTTGACATCACCAGCAGGGGCGACACCTTTCCGTGTACCACCTGTTCTCCGTTGTTCCGCGCCCTTTTTTGACGTTACACCGCAAACGGGCAAAGTTCTGTTGTTGCTGCTCGTACGGCGGTGAAGTGCACGCTCCTTTGGCTACTGTCTTTTTCGCAGTCTCGAGGACTCCGCCAAGCCCTCTTCCATGCCCGAAAAGGATATCTATCACCAATCCCGAAGCTGGATTGCTCGTCGATGGGTCACCGCTCTTGAATCTGGTCCCGGCTCGCGACAAGTCTGTTACGATGTCACCATAGCCCCACCCCAGCTCCAGCGTTCATGGGTCTCTGATGACATATCCGCACGACCAAAAAAACACTATTTCCCAGCTCGAGATTACCGCAGTCAAAGCGATGTAGTTGAACTCTTTGCAGCCATTGTGCTACGACTGTTGTTGGGCTCTAACTCTAACCCCTTCGTCCCTTGGTCCTCGTGCGTGTCCATGTAGTGGATTTGCAATTTCTGCAAGCACGAAGGGCCCGTGCCGCACGCCTACCAGTGCCCGCTCGACGGCGCGGGGTTGCGCAGGGATCGGGATCAGAGGGCGGAGCTCTGCAGGGGTAGCGTGGACTTCGTGGTACCCAAGGTGCGCGGCGCGCGTGCACACCACCGGCTTGCTCTTGTTGTGGTGTACGCAGATAAACACGTGTGATGCCCTGCTGCGGTAGTTTCTCTCCCGGCCGAGAAGAGCTTTGTAACCAATAAAGAGCAATGTTTTTTTAGCGGTGCTTCTGACCTAAAATGAGTGATGGTGTTGGTGATTGTGGTGGTAAAAGGATGAAGACACGCAGGCTTTGAGTGACCCCCCCCCCCCCCCCCCC